AGAACAGAACTAGAACAGAACTTAGAACAAGAACTAGGAACAGAACTAGAACAGAACTAGAACAGAACTAGAACAGAAACTAGAACAGAACTCAGACCAGAACTAGAACAGAAACTAGACTAGAACAGAACTAGAACAGAACTAGAACATAACTAGAACATAACTAGAACAGAAACTAGAACAGAACTAGAACAGAACTAGAACAGAACTAGAAACAGAACTAGAACAGAACTAGACACAGAACTAGAACAGAACTAGAACAGAACTAGAACAGAACTAGAACAGAACTAGAACAGAACTTAGAACAGAACTAGACGAACAGAACAGAACTAGAACAGAACTAGAACAGAACTAGAACAGAACTAGAACAGAACTAGAACAGAACTAGAACAGAACTAGAAGAACTAGAACAGAACAGAACTTGAACAGAACTAGAACAGAACTAGAACAAAACTACAAAAGAACTAGAACAGAATTGAACTACAAAATTTTCAATAATTTGAGTGAATGTTACCTTTCTACTGTGGTTAGTATCTTTTGCATCTGTTAGAAAATATATCTAAATTGTGATATGTGTTTACGGAAATGTTTAAAACAAAATGATATGTTTACAAATTCGACTGATACTTGAATGTATTTTCTTTTAAAAACAAAAATAAAATTGAAACTAAGTATCATATGTATAAAAGAAGATTAGATTTTTATTTTTTATAAAAAAATTTATTTTTTTTTTATAATTACTTGTATTATTTATTTTGGCACATATTTTATTTAACAAATTATTTGTTTTTATATTTTTAGTAATAAGTTATTTTACTAATTTTTACATTTTTTATTTATTTTTGTCGCATTTTTTGTTTGAGTAGAGAAGCTTTGAGCAATAATAATTTTAATACTTTTTATTGTAGAATTTCTTTTCAATTCTATAAATTGTTTATTTTTTTCTGAATTTTTTTTATCGATAAATGCATTTTATGTCTGTCTATACTATTGAATAATATTTTTGTATTTTAATAATTTTTTCAAAATTATTTATTTGTTTGAGCTTTGATTATTTTATTATTATTTTTCCCTTTTTATTTTGCATTTATTGTAGTAGTTCTTAGATATAGAAATATTCAAATAATCTGTATTTTTCTATTTAACAAATCTTATTTCTTGTTTTCTATTTAATTTTTGATATTTTTATATTTAGTTTCCCATACAATTTTGCTGTTTTTGTGGCAGTTGTCTACTTGTGCAAATTATTTACAATTGAATTTTGTTGAGAATTTAACAAAAATATTTTCGTAATGTCTTTAGGATTGGAGAATGGTTGGGGATTTTTGTTTCTTTAAAAATAAAATGTTTTGATGATTATTTTATGTCAATGAAAAATATTTATTTACAAATTGATAGTTTCATTTAAATTTGTTTAAATTACGGCTATTTGTTTTTTTATGTATAGAGTAAAAGCTGTTGATTCATTGAATTATAAGTCATGTTTCTTATATTGAAACAAAACATAAATTTAGTTTTTAATCTAATGGAAAATTTACAGAGAAAAGCTTATTTGAAACAAAAAAGGCATGATTTTGAAATTGTTAAAAATAAAAATAATAATGCTCACAAATTTAAGTAGAATTGAACTAGAACTGAAACTAGAACTGAACTAGAACTGAACTAGAACTGAACTAGAACTGAACTGAAACTGAAACTAATGAACTAGAATGAACTAGAACTGAACTAGAAACTGAACTAGAACTGAACTAGAAACTGAACTAGAAAACTAGAACTGAACTAGAACTGAACTAGAACTGAACTAGAACTGAACTAGAACTGAACTAGAACTGAACTAGAACTGAACTAGAACTGAACTAGAACTGAACTAGAACTGAACTAGAACTGAACTAGAACTGAACTAGAACTGAACTAGAACTGAACTAGAACTGAACTAGAACTGAACTAGAACTGAACTAGAACTGAACTAGAATGAACTAGAACTGAACTAGAACTGAACTAGAACTGAACTAGAACTGAACTAGAACTGAACTAGAACTGAACTAGAACTGAACTAGAACTGAACTAGAACTGAACTAGAACTGAACTAGAACTGAACTAGAACTGAACTAGAACTGAACTAGAACTGAACTAGAACTGAACTAGAACTGAACTAGAACTGAACTAGAACTGAACTAGAACTGAACTAGACTGAACTAGAACTGAATAGAACTGAACTAGAACTGAACTAGAACTGAACTAGAACTGAACTAGAACTGAACTAGAACTGAACTAGAACTGAACTAGAACTGAACTAGAACTGAACTAGAACTGAACTAGAACTGAACTAGAAACTGAACTAGAACTGAACTAGAACTGAACTAGAACTGAACTAGACTGAACTAGAACTGAACTAGAACTGAACTAGAACTGAACTAGAACTGAACTAGAACTGAACTGAACTAGAACTGAACTAGAACTGAACTAGGAACTGAACTAGAACTGAACTAGGACGGAACTAGACTCGAACTAGAACTTGAACTAGAACTGAACTAGAAACTGAACTAGAACTGAACTAGAACTGAACTAGAACTGAAACTAGAACTGAACTAGAACTGAAACTAGAACTGAACTAGAACTGAACTAGAACTGAACTAGAACTGAACTAGACTGAACTAGAACTGAACTAGAACTGAACTAGAACTGAACTAGAACTGAACTAGAACTGAACTAGAACTGAACTAGAATGAACTAGAACTGAACTAGAACTGAACTAGAACTGAACTAGAACTGAACTGAGGACTAGAACTGAAACTAGAACTGAACTAGAACTGAACTAGAAATGAACTAGAACTGAACTAGAACTGAACTAGAACTGAACTAGAACTAGAACTAGGAACTGAACTAGAACTGAACTAGAACTGAACTAGAACTGAACTAGAACTGAACTAGAACTGAACTAGAACTGAACTAGAACTGAACTAGACTGAACTAGAACTGAACTAGAACTGAACTAGAACTGAACTAGAACTTGAACTAGAACTGAACTAGAACTGAACTAGAACTGAACTAGAACTGAACTAGAACTGAACTAGAACTGAACTAGAACTGAACATAGAACTGAACTAGAAACTGAACTAGAACTGAACTAGAACTGAAACTAGAACTGAACTAGAACTGAACTAGAACTGAACTAGAAACTGAACTAGAACTGAACTAGAAACTGAACTAGAACTGAACTAGAAACTGAACTAGAACTGAACTAGAACTGAACTAGAACTGAACTAGAACTGAACTAGAACTGAACTAGAACTGAACTAGAACTGAACTAGAACTGAACTAGAACTGAACTAGAACTGAACTAGAACTGAACTAGAACTGAACTAGAACTGAAACTAGAACTGAACTAGAACTGAACTAGAACTGAACTAGAACTGAACTAGAACTGAACTAGAACTGAACTAGAACTGACCTAGAACTGAACTAGAACTGAACTAGAACTGAACTAGAACTGAACTAGAACTACTAGAACTGAACTAGAACTGAACTAGAACTGAACTAGAACTGAACTAGAACTGAACTAGAACTGAACTAGAACTGAACTAGAACTGAACTAGAACTGAACTAGAACTGAACTAGAACTGAACTAGAACTGAACTAGAACTGAACTAGAACTGACCTAGAACTGAAACAGAACTGAACTAGAACTGAACTAGAACTGAACTAGAACTGAACTAGAATGAACTAGAAACTGAACTAGAACTGAACTAGAACTGAACTAGAACTGAACTAGAACTGAACCTAGAACTGAACTAGAACTGAACTAGAACTGAACTAGAACTGAACTAGAACGAACTAGAATGAACTAGAACTGAACTAGAACTGAACTAGAACTGAACTAGAACTGACTAGAACTGAACTAGAACTGAACTAGAACTGAAACTAGAACGGAACTAGAACTGAACTAGAACTGAACTAGAACTGAACTAGACTGACTAGAACTGAACTAGAACTGAACTAGAACTGAACTAGAACTGAACTAGAACTGAACTAGAACTGAACTAGAACTGAACTAGAACTGAACTAGAACTGAACTAGAACTGAACTAGAACTGAACTAGAACTGAACTAGAACTGAAACTAGAACTGAACTAGAACTGAACTAGAATGAACTAGAACTGAACTAGAACCTGATACTAGAACTGAACTGAATAGAACTGAACTAGAACTGAACTAGAGAAAACTGAACTAGAACTGAAACTAGAACTGAACTAGAACTGAACTAGAACTGAACTAGAACTGAACTAGAACTGAACTAGAAAACTGAACTAGAACTGAACTAGAACTGAGAAGAACTGAACTAGAACTGAACTAGAACTGAAACTAGAACTGAACTAGAACTGAACTAGAACTGAACTGAAACTAGAACTGAACTAGAACTGAACTAGAACTGAACTAGAACTGAACTACAAACGAACTACAAACTGAACTAGACTGAAATAGAACAAGGGCTTAATATATACCGAATATTCTCCGAATTTTTTTAACAATTCCATGTCACTCAAACTATAGAGAGAAAAATTAGATAATTTTCATAACGTTACACTACTGCAATTCATTTACCACTAATAACTTAAATAATTAATTATTATAGAGCTTAATTTTACTAATTTGAATACATATTTTTTCATTAAACGAGGTAACCATTCATCATAATTAATTATAAACAATTAAGTACGAATAAGAATTGAAATTAAAGTTTCTTAGAGAAATATTTTCATAATTTTCATTCAGTATTCGTAGTGTTATTTATTACTTTATTTAAATATTTTTTTTTGTAAATTAAATATAAATTGTTACTGTATTTTTGTTTTATTTTGCGGTTTTCATCTAAATCCTTTTTTAACTATAATATTTATAACATTAAGTTTTTGTTTTATTTTTTCATTAATTTTGTATATAAATTTATAGTCAACTATTTTCATATATATTAATTCTTTTATTATTTATGTTTATGGGTCTGTTTAGGTTTTTGTCCACTTCAATATTATTTGTTTAATTAATTTATCATGTTCCTAATTTTATTTATTGTTTATTTTTAGTATTATTATTGTTGGTTGGTTGGTTGTCTGTGTCTTGTTTTTCACTTATTATGATTAATTACATTTTAATTGAGCTATAATCCGTTTATGTCAAATTTTAATAGTTTTAATAGCCGTATATCATCAACGTGATTATGGTGTTGATGATTATTGTAATTGTTGTTGTCGTTGAGTGTTCGTGTCGAGGCCAATAATAATATTGACATTAATAGTAATGTAATTAATATTGTAATAGATGGTGGTTTTATCGTTCTATTCCCTGTATTACTATTATTATAGAGATTGGCATCCGAGCCACGTTCTTTATATAAGCGACCATTTTGATTGCGAGCACTATCTTCGTGACGATTTTCTTTGAGTACGATTTCGTTTTTCTGCAAGTAATGAAAATAAAGAAGGGAGGGGTGTTTTTGTGTTAAAATATGGTTGAAGATGAAAACGTTATTGTTTTAAAATATTATTGTTATTACGACCTTTAGCAGTAAAATGTTGATTTACCAATAAAAACATATTTGGTTTACTTCCCTAAAGCAAATACTTTAATCTGCCATCTATTACAAAATAAATATATATTATTACAACTTACCGTTACTTCATTCATGTCTTCTTCTCTTAAAATTTTCTTGCCCGGTCGTTCCATTTCTAAAAGTAAAGCAAATATTAAAATTAATTAAATTTAATTTTAATTTTAAATAAGATTATCCTATAATCTTAACTTATTTCATATGTATGAATGTTCAAAACTCACCATATAAACGTATTGTACCCTCCGTATCCCCAATACTATTTTTCGATATACATTTATAACCACCAAAATCGCTTGTCTGCAAACGTTTGATATGTAAAACCATTTCGACAGCATACATATTGATTTCTTTTTCCGTTAAAACGTAACGATCTCCCGCGATAATCATTTCACCTGAAACATAAGAAATTTATAGAAGTAAATTGTAAATTAGATGGTAGAATTTTAGAAAGCAGCACTATATAAGGACTCAGGTAAAGTCTGGTCTATGAGGAATAGATAGATAGATAGATAGATAGATAGATAGATAGATAGATAGATAGATAGATAGATAGATAGATAGATAGATAGATAAGATAGATAGATAGATAGATAGATAGATAGATAGATAGATAGATAGATAGATAGATAGATAGATAGATAGATAGATAGATAGATAGATAGATAGATAGATAGATAGATAGATAGATAGATAGATAGATAGATAGATAGATAGATAGATAGATAGATAGATAGATAGATAGATAGATAGATAGATAGATAGATAGATAGATAGATAGATAGATAGATAGATAGATAGATAGATAGATAGATAGATAGATAGATAGATAGATAGATAGATAGATAGATAGATAGATAGATAGATAGATAGATAGATAGATAGATAGATAGATAGATAGATAGATAGATAGATAGATAGATAGATAGATAGATAGATAGATAGATAGATAGATAGATAGATAGATAGATAGATAGATTTTGTATTCTTTTCAACTCTAAAGAAATCTTAGACCATTTCCTTTACGAGCTTTATAGTGACATTGTGCGATGCAAGGGGATTATGTCAAAAACAAATAATATTTTAAGTCAAAAACATTGCTTCTTCAGTTCAAATATTTTTTTATAGATATCATACTCACATCCCACTAAATATCCACAAAGCTCTTAAAAGAAAATAGTCTAAGCTTTCATTTGAGCAAAACAAAAAGGGAACAAGAACTCCCATTTTAAAAAAATTGGGGAAAAATTTAGTGCCAAATATTGCAAAAACTTATTCTTAGTTAAAAAATATTTTGTTGATAGTTATCCCACTCGCATCCCATCAAAGTAAATTGTATAAACTTTCTTTTAAGCAAAAAAAAAAAAAAAAAAATTGGGTTTTTTGAAAATTTTTTTTTAATTGTAAAAAAATTAAAATTTTTTGTCCTTTGGACAATTTTTGCTGGAACCAATAGGTGAAAAGTTACACGCATTTGAATAAAGCACTGTATAACCAAAATGTCCAAATTTGACCACCTCTTAATCCGGTAGTTCTGGACCGATAGCGCTGTGTCTGGCCTACTATCCAATAGTACTAACATTGGTGCAAATTTCGTCAAAATCGATTTTTTGAATTGGGTCACTTGATATGAAATTGCCTATATGTATTCAGCAAAGAAACTTTATAATCAATTCCGAGAGGAATTTGTTGGTAATTGGTATACAAACCAAATTTCATTGAGTTATTTTCAGAATTGCAGGCTGCAGTTTAATTACAAGGATTACAAGAATAAAAGGACATGCAGGCGGATATGATTAAATAATTTATTTAATGTTTTAGAGCAGAATTACTTGGAAAGCTTTTTATCTATGATTTTATTTATTATTGTTTAGAAATTCATAAATTTGTTGTCCCTTTTGATTGTTTATTCCATATTTTGGTTTGATGACTTAACAAGTTATTACATTAAGTACTTTAGATTAAAAATCATATTTCCCCTGAAATCATTTACTTTTGTCACATAACACAATCAATATGCAGTTACTCTACCAAAAACTTAAATGTCACGTTTATAATAAATGTCATATAAACACAAATTTGTCGTCACCTTGAGAGAAAAATATGTAGGGGACAATGATGTAACGATAAAGATGATGTAGCTGATAAAACAATTTTGTAAAAATATTACTACAAAAAATATTTTGTTTAGAAAGACAACAAAGAAACAAAAAAATGTGGAAAGTATGAAGCAGAAAAAAATTAAAAACATTTAAAACCACTAAGCACGAAGTTAATAAAGACAAATTGTATTGAAAATGAAAAATTGTTTTCGTTTACACTCACTAAGTGAAAAATTGACAAAATGGAGAAGAAAAAACAAATTCCAAAGTAGAATTCCCAAACAAATGAATGATGGCAATTTCAAACACCCTTGTGACTGAAACAAAAGAAAAACCTCAATAGAAGAACTTACCATTTTCCCTTTGCCAATAATTGATGGCTTTTGGTGATGCTTCCACATTGCAAATTAAAGTGACATCTGTCAGGACGGGAGCACCCACCAATTGATTTGGAACTTGTACCAAAGGATGAACTAGAAAGAGATAAACAAACAAATAAAGGAAAAAATCCATTATTAAATAAATTTGTGTGGTATTTTGTTTATTTTCCAATAAATTTATTTTTCTTTTCATTTCTGCAGCTTGTAAGAATTTAATGAATTTCATTTTGTCTCGCTCTCTTGGCTGCTGTAGAAATATGTACAAATTTGTTTAATTTTTTAACCCTTTTTGTATAAAAATATTTTTTTTGTCTAGCAACATATTGATTTATTTAGTTTTTTTTTAGCTTATGTGTTTTTTTTTAGCAAAAACCACAGCTGTTGGTCGGAAAATCTTGACTATAGAGATAAAGCTCAAAAAAAAACTCTAAAACCAACCATTTGTAAAACAAACATAAAAAATGGTTGGAAAACAAATCCCTTCTCTCAATACTGATACGATTTTAATTGAAAATGAATTAGTTTGTAGATTGTTGCTGTATTTTTGTATGTCCAGCACAGCCAGTCAGCCTTTACTGTTGCTTCCTTTAAAAAATCTGTACTTGATTTTTTCTTTTGCTTCTTGGTTAAGACAAAAAGATAGACATTGCTATACAGGATACGTTTATTAAGCTTAGATGTCTGTTCTTTTTTTAGATTTAAAATTTGACTGAAGTTCTGTAAACATCCTTTAAAGTCTACTACCAAAATTAGTACTTGTTTAAGCCCACAAATTAAAGATTTAAGGATTAAGAGAAGGTAATTTTAAACATTTATTTTAAATCTGTCTACACTGACCGTCCGAATGACAGACATAATTTCAGACATTCCTAATTAGAAAAAATAATGTAAATACTTTAATTATTTTTGTTTTACCATTTCTAAGAATTATTTTCTACTAATAGTTTTATTATTTTATTCATAATAAAACTTTAGTATATTTTGTTTTTTATAAATAAAGTTTAAATTTTTTCACTTTCCTCTTTATATATTTTTTTTGCAACAAATGACCACGTCTTCTGGTTGTGCAACATATTGGCAATTGTTTGGTAGTTTCCCATTTTTTTGTTTCTTTTTTGTTATAAAAAACCATTTATTATTCTTGTTTGTTAGATAGATTGTTGTTGTTGCATTGTTATTATTTGGTAAACCAAGCTAAATGTTGACTTTTTCTATAACGGTATAGTTTACTTTATTCCGAAGATGTACATATACTAAACTACATACATATATCATATGTGTATACCAAACACAAACACATATTGAAAGAAGTAAAATTATAACGAAACTTCGAACTGAACTAGAACAGAACTAGAACTGAACTAGAACTGAACTAGAACTGAACTAGAACTGAACTAGAACTGAACTAGAACTGAACTAGAACTGAACTAGAACTGAACTAGAACTGAACTAGAACTGAACTAGAACTGAACTAGAACTGAACTAGAACTGAACTAGAACTGAACTAGAACTGAACTAGAACTGAACTAGAACTGAACTAGAACTGAACTAGAACTGAACTAGAACTGAACTAGAACTGAACTAGAACTGAACTAGAACTGAACTAGAACTGAACTAGAACTGAACTAGAACTGAACTAGAACTGAACTAGAACTGAACTAGAACTGAACTAGAACTGAACTAGAACTGAACTAGAACGGAACTAGAACTGAACTAGAACTGAACTAGAACTGAACTAGAACTGAACTAGAACTGAACTAGAAACTGAACTAGAATTCTGAACTAGAACTGAACTAGAACTGAACTAGAAACTGAACTAGAACTGAACTAGAACTGAACTAGAACTGAACTAAACTGAACTAGAACTGAACTAGAACTGAACTAGAACTGAACTAAGAACTAGAACTAGAACTGAACTAGAACTGAACTAGAACTGAACTAGAACTGAACTAGAACTGAACTAGAACTGAACTAGAACTGAACTAGAACTGAACTAGAACTGAACTAGAACTGAACTAGAACTGAACTAGAACTGAACTAGAACTGAACTAGAACTGAACTAGAACTGAACTAGAACTGAACTAGAACTGAACTAGAACTGAAACTAGAACTGAACTAGAACTGAACTAGAACTGAACTAGAACTGAACTAGAACTGAACTAGAACTGAACTAGAACTGAACTAGAACTGAACTAGAACTGAACTAGAACTGAACTAGAACTGAACTAGAACTGAACTAGAACTGAACTAGAACTGAACTAGAACTGAACTAGAACTGAACTAGAACTGAACTAGAACTGAACTAGAACTGAACTAGAACTGAACTAGAACTGAACTAGAACTGAACTAGAACTGAACTAGAACTGAACTAGAACTGAACTAGAACTGAACTAGAACTGAACTAGAACTGAACTAGAACTGAACTAGAACTGAACTAGAACTGAACTAGAACTGAACTAGAACTGAACTAGAACTGAACTAGAACTGAACTAGAACTGAACTAGAACTGAACTAGAACTGAACTAGAACTGAACTAGAACTGAACTAGAACTGAACTAGAACTGAACTGAACTGAACTGAACTAGAACTGAACTAGAACTGAACTAGAACTGAACTAGAACTGAACTAGAACTGAACTAGAACTGAACTAGAACTGAACTAGAACTGAACTAGAACTGAACTAGA